TTTATATATATATATATAAAGCCGTTGTGGTGGATGTAGCAATACCAAGTGACCACAACATCAGGAAAAAGGAGAAACTGGAGAAATACCAGGGCCTCAGAGAGGAACTGGAGAAGGCCTGGAAGGTGAAGACCACAGTGGTGCCTGTGGTCATCGGGGCCCTCGGGGCAGTCACCCCCAAACTGGAGCAGTGGCTCAAACAGATCCCAGGAACAACATCAGACATCTCAGTCCAAAAATGTGCAGTTCTAGGCACAGCCAAGATACTGCGCAGAACCCTCAAGCTCCCAGGCCTCTGGTAGAGGACCCGAGCTCAGAGGATGAAAGAGACCACCCACAGAGGGTGAGAGGGGAATTTTTTTTTTTTAATATAATTTACATAACACTATTCCACTGTTCATTATTTCTTCTTTACTATAATCTAATTTTACTTTGTTGAAGATCTTTGTATGCAAAGTTATTTGTTCTAAATAAACTACATTTTAAAAAATAAACAAACTTTCTCTAGGCAGAAAAGTCTTGCAAAAGAAAAAAAAACAACAAAAAGCTGTAAAATAATCCTGTCACAACATTTAAGGGCAAATTACATTTTTAAAAATGAATTTAAGACATTTCAAGGCCTCAGTTCTAGTTAAAACAATTTAAGACATTTTAAGGCCCCCCTGTTTTCAAGCGTTAAAGCTCAGCTAGCTGTATTCCTTGGTGTGCTGATTATCAACACATAGATGTATGCAGAAGAGGAAAGAGGTGACTTTTCCTCTCATGCATGTTTCTCTTCCCATCTGTCGCTTTTTTCCTCGGATGCCCTGGAGGTCTCGACTCTTCCTGTTTCCCTCCAGCGATGTTCCCCCTCTCAACACAAATCCTCTCCTCCCTCTTAACTCACTTTCCATCTCAGTGCATCACCTCCAAGTCCGCACCGATCGTCTTTCCGAGGAAGACTCGGTAACTTGGGATGAGATGAAAATTCGATTAGCACTTCGTAATACTTTAATTGATTCCCTCTTTAATAAGTAGCGTAATTAGTCAGAGCGAAGATCCATCGCTCATTAAATTTTAGAGATACAATGCAAACACTGAGTCCCCTAGAGGTTGGGAAGTTGCTTCCCAGAGTGAGGTTTCTGTAACGTCAGCGATGCAGAGAAAGCTCAACTCCACAACAGCTAACCCAAAGACTCAAGGTTAATTACTGACAGATAATACGCCGCGCTGCAGGGGGTGTTTGCTAGTTTTTCTCTGAGAAGACAAAAGGTCAGCGCTGACTAAAAATAAGATGATGAAATCTCCACTGACATTTCCATGTAACTGTGAACTCTGCTAAACTTAGTGTGAGGAAAGATGTTTTCTTTTTATACCCAAATTGATAATATGCTAAAAAATGCTCCAGAATTTATGCTCTTTAAAATAATCTAATGTTAATAAAACTGCAAATACCACAGCTTCTCAAATTATGGTTCTGCAGAAGAAATAACTTTATCACAAAATCCTCCTATGCTGCTAAAATTTGGCAAATGCTTCTTTCCTGGCCAAACTTTACCAAACAGCTTGAGGTCCTAAATCAAATCTTTTATGTTTATAAGGAAGACAAATGGATTAGCTGAATTTGTTTAGAGCCAGAGTGAAGAGCCTGCACTCAGAGTGTACAGGTACTCATAAAATATCGTTTCCTGAGTGATTTTCTGAAGCCATTTTTGTTTTTTAGGAAACAAAATTTGGCTTCAGGTGAGGCAGTGAGGTTTTTGGGATTATCCAGTTCATGTTTAGGTGAACTGGTGAAGGTTTATGACGATGCTGTGGGATTACAGCGATAGGTTAGTGTTCATCTGGGCAAGTCCCAGTTCTCAAACACCATTCTCCATCTGCTGAATGCAGCGTTCCCAGTAGAGTTTAGACTGGGAGTCTATTGTGTCCGAGTCCGATCCAAACCACCAAATTACCCGGAGGACAAGCCTGAGGTAAACCCGATATACTGAAATACTTCCAGACCGCTAACTTTGCTCTCTGCTGGTTGGATGTATTATAGATGGATGGATGGATGGATGGACGGATGGATGGATGGATGGATGTAACTCACCTTCCTCAGCAGTGCCACCAGGTCTTTGGGCCAGGCCGGGCTGTACTGGACGCTCACCGTGCTGAAGAGCTGGATCAAAGACTCCACAGAGTTGCTGGCATGGATGTCGTACGGCCGCTGGGTTCAGAACCAACAGAACCAACAGGAAGAAAGAAAAGAACGATCAGATTGAACAAAACAAACAAAACGAATGAAAGAGAACGAACAAAACAGAACAAAAGAACAAATAAAACGGACAAATCAAACAGAACGAACAGAAAGAACAGAGCAAAGCCTTCAGAGCCTCCTTACAGTGAGGTTCAACATCTGCCAAGCTGAAACTCAGAGAGCCTCACCCATCCACGCAGCACCTCAAAGGCCGTCACCCCCAACGACCACCAGTCGACTTCAAAAGCGTAGCCTGTGCCTCCGCTGACAAACGACTGGAAGATCTCTGGAGCTGAAGGAAAAGCAGGAAAGCAGTTTTACTAACTATAACACACAAATGAAGAACAAACAGCCTTTACTTCCTTTTGCACCTTCAACAAAGAATCTGCAGCCATCGGCGGAGATTTCAGCAGTGACTCAATGTGTTTGATACATCAGCTTGTTGTCATTTAAACTATTTAAACATGTTAAAAATCGACTTCAGTACCAAAATGTAAACGGTGGGATTGTTTTTTTCCATCAGTAGTTTTTGCTCATTTTAAAGTATTGCATTAGAAAATGCTGGTGTTCAAAATAACTCATAATAATAAGTTTTCATACATGCTTTAGGTGGTTTTTGGCTTTTCCCAAAAGAGAGGAGATGGAAACACTTTTGCCGAATAAATTCTGACAAACGTTCCAATCTACAGGTGGGTCTCTGCCTTACCAGAGACACGAAAGCCCAAACCTCTTTGTTTTTCTAAGATGTGTGGTTCATGCTCGTTGATAGATACTTCCTATTTATTACATTCAAACTCAATTCGTCTGGTTGATTCACTCCAAACCAGAAGATGCAGCCACGCCAAATTCGCATTTTCTTTTTTTGCAACATTTTAAATTCGCTTGACGATTGGATGTAAACAGCTACAGTCTATTTGGGTTTGCAGTTAAGATTCTTTAAGATTTATTTTCCTGTCCAAATTTCCCGGTTCAACAAAGCAAACTGTCACAGCAAACACCGATGCTGTAAAGTTTGCAAAACACTTTTGTGTCTCGATCGAAACGTTTATTAAAAACAACTCCAGGAAAATAAGCAAATAGGAAAAGAAATGATAAAATCCACATGGTTAGATGCCAATGATTCCATTTAAAGACTTTTTTGATCCTGGATACATCATCTTTAGAAACAAACCTCAATCTGTGTTCAAAGTGGCACAAGGCCAGTTTTCCTGTTCATAGCTCATAAAGGCGACTCTTTTCTCAGAGCACAGCTGTTGCTGCAGAGAAGGAGCAGCTATTTAAAGGACACAATGGTGGATCAGTGTTACCCATGTAGGGCTTGGTTCCAGCCAGCGCCGTGGCTCTCTCTCCGTCCTTTATTATGGTCGCTATGTTGAAATCTGTCAGGTGAGCGTGACCTGAGGAACAGAATCAAAGGACAACATCGTTTATATTTTTAATGCCAGGACCTTAATGTGCTGATTTTGATTAATTAATTACAGACGCCATCACTACTTTCTACATATTTATATTCAAAATGCCTTTCTTGAGAGCAAAGTGGATTTTAAATTCCTTGTTTATGTGCACAAGCTGGGAGATCAGAAATATTCTGCACCAACTTTTTACAGGAAAATATAAAACAACTTTTTTTTGTTTTTTTTTTTACTGTTACTCCAGAATGTAAATAAAATAAATAAAAAGTGATGCTTCAGTGAACCGGATCAGTGTGAACTCATTATTTTGGACTTTTTTGTATTGCCACTGTTGTGACTCATCAGGAAGAAGCACGTTTGTTAAAGTAATGATGGATTTTTCTGCAGCTGAAAATCCTCTGGATTAAACACCAAAGGACTGGATTACGTAAAAGAATAAAAGAGGCATTGAATACAAGAAGAAACAGTCTAACGCCTTTTCTACTCAGGATTATTATATAAAAATGTAAAAGAAAAAGTTTGAAGCAAACAGACACCTCAGGGTCGCTTGTTTCTATAAAATCAAGGTTCCTCACAGTTTCCACAGAAATAGCTCAGTGATGTTTGTTGGCGAATTTATCTACAACAAAATAGAAGTTTTTGCAAAAAAGATGCATAAATTTTAACCCCTAAAATTAGTTTTGCTGACAAACTTTCCAATCTACAGGTGGGTCTCTGCCTTACCAGAGACACGAAAGTCCAAACTGAAGCAGCTTCAGCAGCAAAAACGCTCTGCAGCTTTGTCTTGGTCAAGGCTTTGACTAGACCATTACAACACCTTGATTATTTGCTTTTTCAGCCAATCTGCCGGACACTAAGTGCTGTGTTTGACCCGGTTTAATTTGATCCGGTTTCGGTTAAATTAAGGTCTTGTTTGACTATAGAATACTTTGGTATGCAGATGTTTGTGTTAGGACTTTTTCTAATACCGTTTATAGAGATGATCACATTGATGATGATCAGTTATGCACAATTGATTACTTTTAAATACTATTTTAAGAGCAGGTAGTATCCAGGTTTTCCAGGTAGTGTCCAGGTTTTCTGGCCTTTCCAGGAATCCCAGCGTTTTATTATTTTCAAATAAATTTTAAAACTTGTTTTTTCTGTCATTTTTTCTTCAGTTTTGACAAAAAAAAAAAAACTCACAATATTTCAATGAAAAAAGAAAAGTAGAAAAAAGGATATATGCTAAATCTTTCAGGTTTATTATCTTTGTATATAGCGAAAAAGATGATAAAAGACAAACAGATTTTCCATTTTAATTCCTCAGGATCTTTTTTTAGACGCCTCGTATCAGTGAAACTTGTACATTAAATTTTTAAAATCAATCTGCATCAAATCCCTGAGCTGGAAAAACAAAGTTATACCATCCTTGAATTCTGTTTGAGGCCCACAAACGGCCCCCGAACCACACTTTGGACACCTTTTGTCTAAAACATGCAAAAGGAAATAGCTTTGGGTTCACAAAATAATTTATAGTGGATGTCAAAATATTTTTCAACAAAACAATCAATTCTTGCAGAGAAAGTATATTATATTAAAAAAAGATTGTTTACACAAATTGAAGTTAGAGCAGGAAACAACAGAAGCATCAACGCAACTAAAAACAAATCAGTCATTTTCTTACCTTGTTCATCTAAAAGGATATTGTCCGGCTTTACATCTCTGAAAAAACACAAAACACAGATGTGATTGAATCACCTTCACATTAAGACACAGTTAAATGAAGTCTAGCAGCTCTTACAGCCTCTTTAAAGTACAACCAGAGCAGTAAAGGTTGGGTTTCATGCTCATTACATTAACTAAACGTGTTTGGTCTGCTCTGCAGCCAACACATTCTGAAACCGTGCTGCAAGGTGCCATCACATGTGGGAAAGCCTGGGATTAGATATATACAGTATGTGTAGATGTGAAAGTCTGTAGGAGGTGTGTTGGAGGCTGATGCATGTGTGAATTACGTGTTGGTGCAATATTGTGTCAGTAAGAGCAAAAGAGGGAGGAGATTCTTTCATTTCGAACGCCGCCGGAGGGACTTTAGGTGCAACAATATCTGCAGGTTCCCTCAAAACAAGCGAGTTACAGAGGGGCTGCGTGCGCCAAACACATGACTTTCACCAGGCGCGTCAGAGTGAACACGCTTGTTGTATTTAATCACGGTTCACGTCACACTGCAGCACGGAAACACAGGCAGCTTCCAGAGAGCGTCTCACAAAGACGCTGAAGTAAAAGCCTTGAAGGAGAGAGGAAGAGGAGGAGGAGGAGCAGGAGGAGGAGGAGCAGAGACAACATACCGCTGGATCTTAATACGTTAGGGTTTCATCACAAATTCAGTTTTTAATTTAAAAGTTTGACTTTTATATATATTAACTACACATCCCAGTTTTAAAATCCCTACACTGGCTCCCTGTAGCTCAGAGAATAGACTCTAAAATACTTTATTTGGCTTGTTAATCGCTGAACCACATCACATTAAAGATTTGCTGTTGTCATAGCAACCTTACAGACCTCTCAGGTCTTCTGGTTCTGGTCTGCTTTGCACCAGAACCAGAACCAAACATGGAGAAGCAGCATTCAGCTTTTATGCACCACAGATCTGGAACAAACTTCCAGAAAACTGCAAAGCAGCCGAAACACTGAGTTCCTTTAAATGGAGACTAAAACCCACCTGTTTAGCGCTGCCTTTGATTAAGTGACGGTTTCTGACAACCACCCAGGGTGGCATCTTGTGGGGGCTGGCATGAGCTAACTAGAAACAACCAATCAGAGCCAGGAGGCGGGACTTAACGCTGTTAATTATTGTCTGCTACGTGCTGCAGCTATTGTCTGCTACGTGCTGCCACGAATGCTAAAGCTAGTTAGCAGGACGACAGATGGAACAGTAAGTTGTTCCTCCACTATTAGCACATTTAGCAATCCATACACAAGCCTGATTGGCAGTGCTGAGAGCCTCCTCCTGGCTCTGATTGGTGCGGTGTATGTCTTCAGATGACAGTAACAGTTCAGGCAGGAGGTGGAAGAGATCGATTTTTTTTCTCAGATTATCCGTTTCATATGACATGTTGACAATTTTAACAAATATGTAAAAAATCTATATATAATTTTGATAAAAGTTTCTAACTGCAGCTTTAACTCCAGAGACGATTTATTGAAATCAGTGAAATACGAGGAAAAAGCAACACGAGGACTTCTCTGGTTCCTCCCTTCCCCTAATAAGACTAATTTTACCTCCTTGGGCACGGTGACACCTGACTGTTGCTAGGAGACCAGAGACCCTTCTTCGTTAAGTTGGTGCAAAAAACAAAAAAATGGTGAACAGTATCCTACTGTCGGAAACTTAAACGCTGGAGCCGCACAGGCCACGGATCCCCGGCAATGGGATTAGGGCTCCTATCCAGCAGAGACAGGCTGGTAAACATCAAAGCGTCGCTCACTTATCATATTAACACTTCCTGAATGAGAAATCAACGACAGGAAGAGCAAACAGAGGGTACTTGGAAGGAGTAGGATATTTCCCACATTTACGTGGATGTGAAGCTGGAAGCAGAGATGATAACGGACTGCTGGGCGCTGCAGGGGTGGGTGTATTTTTACAGCATATACTTCTGTCTGAGCACCTAAAAATAGCTGCAGATACACATCGGCAGGGGTGCATTCAATCATGTGTTAAGAGGCGGGCGGCAGCTCCTGAGCCTGAGTTACAGTTTATTTCTAGGTCCGTATATCTAAAGTTGGAATCTGGAGGATCTGTTTGTAAAGAATGGGAAGCAGTCGCTATTGAAACTGTTTCTAATTCACCTCTTTCTGCACATAAAATCCTGGTTTCAGGTAAACAAACATCCCGCCTCCCCAGGAATCAGTTGCAGGCGGGGAAATGTGAGACTGAAAGCTGGAGGCAGATTGAAGGAAAAAAGGAGTCAATAGATGTGTTGAGGAGCGAAACCCACTCGACATGTGAAAAGCTCGTCTGTTCAACGCTGACGGCTCGACAAGCCATTAAAAGCGGCACTGGAAGAACTCCCACTTGAGTCATGAAGAGGAGGAAACAAGGAGAAATCCCACAGAGCAGCCATTGATTCTACGCATTACAGTGAAACCGATGTGAGTCCTGATTCCTGCACATCATGTGAACACTGCAAAAAAACTAAATATTACCCAGACTTTTTGGTATAGTTTTTAGCAGAAACATCTTAGTGCACTTGAAATAAAAAACTAACTTAGCAGGATGTAGGAGCTTGTTTTAATTAGATAATTTCTTAATATTGATTAAAAATGCTGGTTAAATAACCTGCCAGTGGAACCAGTACTTTTAAAAATCAATATTAAGAAATTAAAAGTTAGTTTTGTCCTATTTCAAGTATACTAAGATATTTGGACAATAAACTAGACCAAATCTATTCGGTATGAGTTTGTGTTCTTGCAGTAAATTTCTCATACACTGTAAAAACATAAAATCTTACTCAGTATTTTTTATCTATAGTGAAAACATCTTACCGTACTTTAAATTAAAAAAAAAAAAAACTACCCAAGAAAGATATAGTAGCTTGTTTTAACTAGATAATTTCTTAACATAAATGTTTACAGTACTAGATCCATTGGTTAGTTGTTTCACTTTTAACAAGACATGTTTCCCATGTTATAAGTTACATAACCTGTTAGTGAAATCAGTAAAAAATACTTATAATTATCAATAAATAAAAAAACTGCTGGAAAGTTACTTGTAGTTAGTACACTTGAAATAAAACAAATCTAAGATGTTTTCACAATAAATTAGACTAAAATTACTTGGCATGAGTCTCTTTTTTTGCAGTGTATTCTCGTAAGCTGTAAAAACATAAAATTTCACTAAGTATTTTTGCCAAGTTTCTAATATCTTGTTAAACTTGAAATAAGACAAAATCAAGGTACAATAATGTTAAACAAGCTTATTTATCTTACTGAAAAATTATTTTCAGCAAGATAAGCTCATTTTAACTAAATAATTCTTGACTATTGATTTAAAAAATGCCAGTTTCACAGTTTGTTTCAGTAATAACATGACATTTTTCACGTGTTATAAGAGAAAAAAATCTGCAGTGGAACTTATTAATCAATATTCAAGAATTATTTACTCAAAATGAGCTTATTTATGTTGCTGAAAACTTATTTGTACCTTGGTTTTGTCTCATTTCAAATGTAAAAAAGATACCTGTACTAGAAATTAGACAAAAACACCTGGAAAGATTTTTGTGTTTTTGCAGTGTAATTTTTTCAACTCCGAGTTTTAGTTACTTTAACTTTAGCTTCTTGTAACCTTTATGCAAATTATCTGCTGCTGGCCACGTCACAAAAACTCAGTATTTACACTTTATATAAGTGGAAATGGAATCAAACAGATGGGCACAACCACAGCCTCCTGCACAACCTACAAGAATGCAGCAACTGGTTTCTGGATGGCAGCGTGGGTTGCTAGGTGATGGGCAGAACTCTACTGGGGTTGCTAGGTAACGGTGCAGTGCCTATCAGTTGTGACTTAATAATCTTGAGTTTTTTTCAAACGGCCTGTTTTCCAGACACCAATAGACATTAAGCTATTGCCAGAAAATGGCTGGATGTATTTTTTAGGATATTGAACTATTTCTAGAAGCAGTTGAGACCCAAGTGGAAGAATAAAAACGCACAAAATGTAAATTTTGTATAATAGGTTCCCTTTAAGTGACCATGTCTATGTCTGGAGCGAATCAGACAAATGTCAATCATAATTTTTTAGTGGTATTTGACACAAAAATGCCCCAAAATAAACCCAAATGTAACTTTCTAGAGTTTTCAAATGCAGTGGTGGGTCAGAGAACACTGAGATACTTTTCTATTTTGATAAAAAGAACAGCAGATTTGTTCTGGAACTTATACTAATTTGTACAGTATTGTATTTGCATCTCATCTTTCTTCATAAAAGAACAAACCTTCACATACATATTCCACCAGAATACTATTTTCTGCAGAGCAGCATCGTTTCATCCCCTCTGTTATTAGCAAGAGAACCAAAGTCTGCTTGAAAGACAGATCGAGGAGAAACACACATACAGATCACTTCAGAGGAAATAAAACCGAAACTTCTCACAACATTAATAATGCAGGTACACATACGCACACACCCCCAAGTTGTTTGAAGGTAAAAATGTGGCCCAGACAAGGTATGGAGCAGCATTCAAACAACGTTTGAGCCATCTGTGGCACTAAATCAGCAGTCTGCTGGGATCGCCGCTCTTTTGCTCACCAAACTGCAGACGCTGTATTGCTGCGCTCAGCATTTCTGTGCAAAATAAACTACAAACTGCAGGCTGAACTGATTAAAGATGATACATGGCCACATTTACAAAAAAGCTGCTCCGTTCTTCATTTAGGAAAGTGGAGCCCCACAGTCTGACCCACATGACCAGAGAAGCTCATTCAGTAACTAAATCTGGTTTATATTCTGAAAAGCCTCAACAGAATCTGTTTCTCCTCTCTGAACACTTTATAATAGAAACACTTTTCCACAATTATATGAATAAAATCTCAAATGGATTTTAATTTATCATGTTGATCTGAATAGCTTCACTACTTTAATAAATAAAATGTGAATCTGAAAACCTTCCTAAGATAAGTTATTTTTGCCAAAAAGTTTTTTTTTTTTTTGCCTAGAACATCTTTTGGAAATAAAGACGTGGTGATTTTATTTGTTGCCAAAGTCAAATTTGGCAAAAAATTACTTTGTTCTTTATTTTTGGAAGGTGAAAATATAAAAAAATTGTTTGACTGTATGACGGAAAACCAGAACAAATCTGTTAGTGGCAGATACTTCTTCACTGTACTTCAGCTTTGATTTTACTAACGTATGACAGAAACATAATATTCCCATCTCCATTTAAAAAAAAAAAGAAAGAAAAAACCTCAGAAAACTTTACCTATTTTAAAAAGTTGGTTTTAAAGGATCTAAAAGAGGAAGAGCTACTCAGATCTTCTGGAAGAATCTTATTTTGATTTGTTGCTTTTACAGTACGAACTGAAGTCAAATAAAGGAGGGATTACCAGTAGCAGTCAGTCTTGCAACAAATCTGGAGAGGCCTCTGACTGAAGACTGTTGTTGTTTGACAGTTTCATGGCCACCATTAGACGCCAACAGCTCAATTTAAAGACAGCAGAGAGAATATTTCACAGAAACATGTTTGAGTGATACAATCAGTTGTTGGCTAGCACTGCTAATCCACCTCGTTTGCATTTGCTGCTCCTTTTTAAATCTCTGAGATGTTGGAGTCAGAGATCGGAGAGCAGAGCCTTGCCCGTTGAGAGATGGTTTGAACTTTTAGGTAATATTTGAGCTTTTGAGATGCTAATAATCTGCTCCCAGTAGTAACAAAAACATTACCTTGTTGCCATGACTACACATCGTCGCAACTGTTGCAAAAGTAAAAAACAAAAAGTGAGAGCAGAAAGCCTTCCAGCTGCACAGCCTGCAAAACCAGAGGGAGTAGTTGTCCAACCAAAGGTTTCTGAACAAAATCAATAGATAGGAGGATGCTTAAGCTCTACCTGAAATAAACAACTCAAGTTGTGCAAAAACACACAACAGGAAACGGTAGTGACGCCTAACAGGAAGTGAGCTCAGACTGGATGAAGGTGCGAAACATCCAAATCATGTTTCTGTCATAAAACTGTCTGCAGCACGGCTCAGAAAGGAGAGGCGATTTCACGGCTCAGATAAACCAACTACAGGGAAAACAGATTTTACTCCATCTGCACTCAGTCTTAAAATGTAATCCGTCCTGTTTCAGCTGAAAACGGAGGAGCAAAGCAAGGTGGAGCATTAATAATGTTAGTGCAAGCTGCTGAATACAATGACACAAAGCCTCTTGAATGCTGAAGCTCCCAGATGTAACCTTGACTGTTTCTTTTGAAGTATTTCTTTGTAGATCTGCAGTTTCTGCTCCTTTGAAATTATTTAACAACTTAACTTAGTTTTAAGTTATAGTTGGCACTTCTATCTGTAAAAACTGAGGATATTAGGTAAATACCAAAAATGATTAATCGATTTAATTGTGATTAATCGATTATTGAAATAAAAGTCTATCAATTTAGTAACTGCTTAATCGGTAACTGGTGTTTACAGACTCCAAACATAGCACTCAAAGCAGTAATTAAGCCAAAATGGTACAAAAATTATATACATTTTTTAGTTAAGATGAGAAAAACCTTATTTGTTTGCAAATAGTCTCTACCCAGAATTGATCAAGTTTCATTTTTAGCTTCACCTGGTTCAAATTTAGTAAAAATGTCTCCTTTCGCTGTCTAATTATCAACACAAAAAATAATGAATCTATTAGTTGACAATATTTCTTAGCAATACAATTTTAGTTTTCTTATTTAAAAAAATATGTAATTATTTCCTTTTTGCACATTTTAGTGTATTTTATTTTGTGTAAAAAGGCTTAGTTGGTGGAATGAATGCAGAATGTGCCATTTTTAAAATTTGATTAATCGATTAATCGTCAAAATAATAGATTACTAAAATAATTGTTAGTTGCAGCCATAGTGCATAATCTGAGAACAAAAGATATAATATTCATCTTGCTGCTGTCATGAATAAGTCACAACTTTCGCTTTAACTTAAAGTTGCTCATTTATATGGCAGTTTTCTGTTTTTGTTACATAAGTCTGCAAGAACGTCCAAAATGAGCTAAAACAGAGTCACTAAAATGTAGCTGCTGATAGAAACCATGAAATCCTGAAGAAAACCAAAACAAGAGGTAAAAGGTGAGTGTGCACCTGTGGATGATGTGCTGGCTCTGCAGGTAGTCCAGGGCCAGAGTCATCTCACACAGGTAGAGCCTGACGGCGTCTTCGCTGAACTGGACGTTCTGCTGCAGGTGGTAGCGCAGGTCTCCTCCCAGCAGGAGGTCGACCACCATGAACATGTCCTCCTCGTCCTGGAAGGAGTACCTGGGAGCAAACACACCGCTCAGTGACGGGGCGAAGGGAACGCAGACGGCGCTCCAGCAGAAGCACAAACACAACAAACGGAAAGCAGGGCTGCATGCAGACAGCTACTAACGAGGATCCTGATGGGTTAGAAAGCAAAACACAACCAAGTCACTTATCTTAGTACAGCTGAAATAAAACAAAAGTGACTTACATGAAACTTTTTGGCAACAATAATTCATTAGTATTGATTAAAATACTAGTTCCATTGGCAGATTATTTTATTATAACAAGGCATTTTTCCATGTTATAAGTAAAACAATTTGCTTGTAAAGTTAGTATATTTTCATTAATATAAAGCAATTATTGTTTATATCTTGCTGAAAAGTTATTAATAAGTTAGTTTTATTATATTTCAGGTGCGCTAGAAACTAGACAAAAAATACTTGGTAAGATTTTGTGTTTTTGCAGTGTATGAAGACCGTCCTCATCTTCTCTCCATTGGGCAATAAATCTATTTTATCAATTAATCAAATTTCTGGTTTATGAATATATAATTTTTAGAAAATCAGACTTTCTTGTTTTTTCAACAATGCACTCATTGGGTTTCCGTAATTCAACTGTCAACCGTCGGGCCACCATTTTGTTTAAGAAGGTTGTTTTACAGCTTCTGTTTATTTACACTTTGAATGTTTGGATCTGGCTAAAATGATTTTATTTTATTTTTTTCCAGGAAAATAAAGACATAATGTCAAAAGAATAAAGTCAAACGACAAAGTCAAAGTAATACGGCAATAAAGTCCTAATATTACCAGAATAAAATCATATTAGGAGAACTCCAACACAAAATATTAATAAAAAATTATCCAAGTTTTTTTTGTTTATTTCCCATATACAGAAATCCTCTGTTAATAGCTAACTATCATCAGCGTAACGACAGATGTTTATCAGAACTAGTCCCAAGTTGACATTTGTATTTCACTCAGCCAGATTCAAGCTTTTAAAAACGAACTTTATATTCATCTGGGCAGAGAAAATCCTCCCTCCATGCTTTACATGGGGTTTTATGCTGTACGCTGTGCATCATTCAAGCCGTGGAGACATTTCTGCTGTTCATCAATAATCCAAGAGCCAAGTCTGAAGCAATTGTTTCCTTGTTTCAGTGATTGATTCTGTGTTTGCATCGTTCTTGGCTGTGGTTTACAGCAGCGCTGCTTCTTTTGTCAACGCAACAATAACATACCATGCTGGAGACCGTGGCTATTCCTGCAGCCGGTGATCTTTATCTGGCCTTCATTTTTCCACAGCCAAATCTCAGCTGCAGTGTTTATTCTTTTTTATGTGCATCCAGATACACAATGTCACAGACAAAGACACAAACTATTTAAGATATTAGCTTATTGTGTTCTTTGGCCTTTTGTTAAACTATAAAATCCTATTGGCAGGCTTGAAATCACGCTAAACACATCCATCTATCTATTGTTATTGTTCTGCTTCCTAGAGTTGGGGTGTCCAAAGTGCGGCGCAGGAGGCCTTTTGTGGCGCTTAGACTGATTTTGTGTGGCCATCAAATGCAGATGGAGATTTTTTTTTATTGGGAATCAGGCTAAAATTATTACCAGCAATTTTATTATAAGGGAAAATGTCAAGTACAACATAAAGCATTCATCTTTTTACAATCAAGTTTTTATAATTAATAGAATTACGTGCATCCAGAAACTTTTTGCTGCATCCCAATTAGCTCTCATTTAATTTATGAAGTTAGGCTCAAAGCAAACGCTTTGAAAGAAAGTGACCCAAATCTTGTTCTTACAAGAAAAAAATTGCTCAATCAAGCCAAAATAATTTTTTTAAAACTAAATGCCATTTTCAACACGGTATTTATCCAAAATCCTTTTTAAAGGTGACCTATTGTGTTATGAGCAACACAAAACATGCTCAGCTTTTACACTTGCATGTAACAATGGCGGAAAAGTCAGCTGACCAAACATCCTTGAGGTCATCTTGATGTTATGTATCTGAATGTAAAAGGTACACATAGTTTTATTTGACCAATTTATGTGTATATTTAACTTTTTTTTTAACTTTATTTATTGAAGAATGCAAGACCTCAACACTAACCTTGTCAAAGTCTGTGGTTATTCTTTATTACAATATTGCTATATTTGTCATTGTGTTAAAGATCCTCTGTATATTAATGTCATTTGTTCTTCAAAAGATCTGGGGTTGCTAGGTGATGGGCGGAACTCTACTGAGGTTGCTAGGCGACGGGCTGGGCTTCTATGGTTGCTAGGTGATGGGCAGTGCCTTCTGGTTGGTGCGTTACATTTGGAAGATTTTTCAATCATGTCATTTTCCAGACACCAGAAAACATTAACCTATAGCCACAAAACGTCTGGGTGTTTTTAGAAAAGTTTTGATTGTACAACGAATAACATCACTTTACTACAACACAAAAAGACTTATTTGCTTAATGTTAGTTTAGATTTTTTTTGTATTTTCTTGTCCTGAGAGTACTTTTAACTCAACAAGTTTGTCCCACATGAGAAAGTATTGTAATTGTCCTAGAGTTTCTGAAAGCAGAAGTGAGACCTTTCATTTATCAGGATGCTTTTTTACCGACTCAGCTCTCAGGTTTTGTTCATTAGTCAGACTCCCTGTCCACTGGCGCCATTCACTTCATCTTTTTTTACTTTACATAGACTCTACATCTGAACCCGTGCTCACCTGGAGACCAATTTAAAGCTCTCTGAGCAGTTTTGTCAGTCAGACTTACAAATCATGCAAGTCAAATTAAAACGCAGCCCGCTCAGTGACTATTTACATTCACTCCGAACAAAACACCAAACCACAAAAGTGAACAATTAAAGTAGAACAGATGCTGATTACTCAGCCAAGTCGAATAAAGACAGATTAATAACTTAATATCCCCCAGGTGGGAAAACAATCCGAGCCTCTGTGATTTCTTTTATCAAACTGGGCTTCGTGTGATTGCAAGTGAGCCAGTTCTTTATTTTCTCATCAAAGCTCTTCTGCTACGGTGATATTACTTCTATTTATAGCAGCAGGTTTCCTCTACATCCTCAAGTCTGGCCATGAACGCACACAAGGGCATTCTGATTGCTCATATCTAGCCGTGATTTCCAGCCAAAGAGGTGGATGTTTGCAACGGAGAAAAGCAGAAAACTAGTTTTTGGCTTCAGGAGGGAAGAAAACACAATTATTTCATAGTACCGATTTTATCCACCTGCAGTAAAATACATAAAGGCGTGTTATATATAGAAAAAAACAAGAGTGCATTTCCACCAAAAAACTTTTGAGGGTAATCTCAGAAATTTTCTAGAAAAGAAACAAGGACATCTCTGAGCTTGAAAAGTAAAACATTTGCTCAAAAAACTTGAACATTTTCAGATTAATCTCATAAATTTCCCAGAAAAAACAAGGACATTTCTGAATTTGAAACCTTTAGACAATTTCCAAAATTAGAAATTTTTTAACTTTTGAAACTTTCCGAATTTTTTTATTTCTGAGATTAATTTCAAAATTTATGACTTCTTTTTCCTATAAATTTTAAACTTTTACTCAGAAATGTCCAGACTTTTTTTCTATACAATTTACGAATTTACATTTTAATTTTTTTTGCAAATTTGCTAGAAAAATACCTAATAATTTTTTAGATTAATCTCAGAAAACTTCCAGAAAAAAACAAGGACATTTCAGAATTTAAAAAGTTGAAAATTTGCTAAAAAAAAAACAACAAAAAAAAACAAAACAACTCAAATGTTGAGAATCTCAGAAATTTTCCAGAGAAAAACTTCTGAATTGTGAGATTAATCGAGCAAATTTTTAACGTTTCAAACGTGGAAATGTCATTCATTGTTTCCAGAAAATGTTTAGGGGAATTTTACTCCCCGTTTTTTTTTTTATATATATTGACCCTAATGTACCATCGTAATAATGAGATTTACTATATAATTGGTGGAAGTTGGTTTGTAAAACCCTGAACTTCGTTTTCCGCCCTGCTGTGCGCTGTCAGGAGGAAACGGCTCTTTAGCCGCCTTCATCAGTCACAGTTATTCCACCTGGCCTGACCTTTCAGAGATCGGCTTCAGTGTTGAAACAGACGGACGGCCGGTCGGCCATTGGCTCGGCCACCTTTTTAACACCTCATTGTCAGACTCTGCTTCCCGCCGTCCTGCTGACAGATGAGCTCCCTCCGAGACGAACCCCTCGCTAAAAACGAGCTTCCCGGCCTGCAGACTGCGGCGTCTGTCTCTCTCTCTCTCTCTCTCTCTCTCTCTCTCTCTCTCTCCCTCTCTCTGGCTGTCACTTCCTCCCTCGCTGCGTCTGAGGTGACAGGGAGATGTCGGATAACGGCCAACAACTGGAGCATATAAAAGAGCCGGCGATGACAAGCAGTGACACTTTCAGGGCTCTTCCAGCGGAAAAGCAGAGAGAGGAAGCACAATTTAATCCCCCCATCTTTGGCATATCTTACCTTCAAATCAGCACAATGAAACTCCTAAAATGTGTCGGTTCTGAGAATGTCAGGAGCCGACTCTCCGGTTATTGCAAAACGTTGAACTTAGACAAATGTAGGCTGTGTGGATGAACAGTTTTTTTTTTTCTGAAAATAAAGACGCTTACTGCAGTGTTGCTCTGATTGGGAGCAGACAAAGGGGCAGATTACACTGCAAAAACATAAAATCTCACCAACTTCATCTAGTTTCTACAAATCTTAAAACAAAACAAAACAAACTTACAAGTAACTTTTCGGTAAGATATAGGAGCTTATTTTAAGTCAATAAATCCTTGATTTTTTTAAAAAAAAGTACTATTGAACTCTAGTGGATCTAGTATTTTAAGGAATTATATTTACTTAAAACAAGCCACTATATCTTCCAGAAAAGTTACTTGCAAGTAAGTTTCGTCTTATTTCAAGTGATTTACAACACAAACTAAACTAAAATATTTGGTAAGATTTTGTATTTTTGCAGTGTGGGTCTTTCAACCGGACCGAA